GGAATTATGGAAAAATGAGTCGCTCTGACATTCATCCCTACAATGCTGACGTGGTCCAATTATCATGCGTACACTTGAACTTAGTCAGTCAGATAAATTGGTCGTACGACTGCTAACTTATTTGCTAGGGGTTTCTTTTCCGAACATGTAAATGATATCATTTTGAAAAGAAAGATCTTATGCAGATGGACCTGTCTGATCAACACAGTGTGAGTTACCTAGATTTATTATCATATCTGCTATCCTCTTTACCTACGAAGGCATATACACAGATATATTTTGTACTGTGTATTCGGCAGTTTGAAAGGACCACGAGATATAGCGAATTTGCTCGTGAAAAGCGCCACGAACGCTTGCCTACCGGAGTTAAACACCGGTCCAAGAGTGGTACCTCGCCTCCATATTTGAACACTCGGCTTCCGTCTGTCTAATATGACCTCCTGTGTGGCATACTGCAGGCCCGGGTAGTTTGCAGAAGCACTGTACGATAGGTGATTCACCGTGAGAACTTCCTCTTCGTAAGTATCATCTTCAGAGAAGGCCTCGAATTGCAAGTCGTTGAGGTACGTCCCGGGTTTGGTGCAGAAACGCAATCTGAGATTCTCCTGTTCATTGGGCATCATTTCGATAACATCCGGTCCCACAAGTGACAACGAAATATCCTAGTAATTACAGTATGCAAACGAAAATAGCTTTAATTACTTAGTCGATCTACGTCGAACCACATTTAGCCCTCAACACATCTGGGCTTACTAATTCAAAGGTGCCCATCCTGGTGTTGAAAACCCTTCGATTTTACTGCAAGCGCTGGTTCAAATTAACAGTCCAGTTAATCGAAACTCACGTCGTTTGTAAGTGGATGTCCAAGATAAACGTCGGATGATTTTGAAAGTGCAATGACAGTCGTCACGATGTGGTTTCCCAGGGTCCCCTTCACAGTCATGTTTGCAGCTGAGAGATTTGATGGAAGTTGAACACGCATGTAACAGGCCACGGTGACCTACATTAATGAAAGTGTTACCTTAGAACTTACATCGCGTAAAACTCCGTCGGATAATCTCGTGCAGTTTAAAGAGCCAAAGTCATTATTAATGTCGTGGGTTTAATTGGGCCATTGCTCATAGATTACAACAGAGTGCGCCAAATGGAGTAAATTATGTCAGCGGCTACCCAGCATATATTAGAATTGTTTTCCTCAATGAAATAATCGCGAAATGGAACTAAACGACATACTTGTAAAACGGCAAGATCATTTCCAAGTGCGGAAGCAAACTAACCTTCGAATCGTCATTCCCCTTGGCAAGAAGGCTCCCCATGTTGAAGGTATACATTTTGTTCGGTTTTGGTGGTCTACAATGTCAAAAACCATAGCTGGATTTACGCGGTTAAAGGTCTATCCTAGTAGGAATCTGTAAGCACTTGGTGTTAGACTAATTGCAAATATCACGGTGATTTGTGTCTTGATGCTTTGTATAAGAGAAATGTACGCAGGTTTGTGATACCTTGTGGACAAAATCGGAAAGAATGGTACTGAGTCAACAGCCTTCTTGCTTCCTTTTATGCATTTACCAAGCGATCTTAACTCACACCTATCTCCTCATTAAAACAAAGTGTAAAATGACACCTGATTTCAGATAATTTCTAAGGTCAACTTTAGGAAAGCCACTTATTCGCCTTCACTATGCAGCATCACATTTGAAAGTTCATATTACAAAAGAAGTTTTGCGCACTTAAAATTTAACAGATCAGCTGCACCTTCCAAACTAAAAAAAATCGAGCATTGCTGTTGCGCAGTTGTCCTCTAACACACCTCTCAACATAACGCAAGCTCTATTACACCTTTTAGATTATCGCAAACTCATGTATGTAGGGTAAATTGTTGGTTCCACGAAATGAAATTTCCACGGTATTTGAAAAACTCCCGAATGAACTCCGGATAAAATGCCTTCAGGAGATTTGTTTGCCATTTCAAATAAAGGGTCCTCTATATCGATGTGCCACTGTAGTGATTCTTGACGTGGCTTCATAAATGGAAGACGAAAAGGCTTTCAATAAAAACCAGAAAATGTATTTCATTGAGCAGCAGATTCGGGCAAATGGGCGTAGGAAAAAAACAGTTTGCCGAAATCCAACTCACTTGTCATTTGGCATCATGCAATTTTGGTAGTTGTCGCCCCAGTGAACGCTTTCTCCGACAGCGAGAACATGTGGAGAATCGAGTGTGGAATCACCACTGCTCTCAATTTGAATGGTTGGCGATTCGATCACGACTGTGTTTGGTGGTACAGTGAACTCAAACGCAATTAGAGCTACCTCCCCCGAACGAAGCGGTCTGTTGAGTGGTGCCCACGTGAGCACGTCAAGCACCTGCAGCGTCCAAATTGTTGGGTTCAGTTGACTTTGCTAAATAAGGGACAAGAATATGGCAATGAGCGGTGAAAACTAAGACGACTACATGATTAAAGTCGTTTTCAATGTTGGAGTGCAGATATCTGTAAAGATTTCAAATGAACACTCATTTCATCTATAACGACCAAGCATGATTAATGGTCGATCGAAGTATATTCGGAACAGCAATTATCGACCAACCGTTTTGTGTACATGGCGTTCGGCTCTAAGCATCCACATAAACATACTTGCCAGGCCTCTGGAATGTTTCTACTTTTCATTATCTGTCTCGTTTATGCCCTCCTTTTTATTTATTCATATTCACCGACCCCTTTCTTATCGGTCCATCCATCATTGAGCATAATATTACCCTTAATTGCTATCAAGACCACCAACGCCAGATACAATTTTTGCGCATCTGAACGGAAATTCGGCTTTTCTGCTGTGCCATCAAAGTTTACTCCTCATGCGAGCAGGCTGTGAGTCATCCGTTTTTTATAAATACGAAGCACTTGCGCAGATGAATCGTTAACCTGCCGAGCAAACGCTTCTATGTCTACTTATCGCTCTACGTCTACGTCCTATAACAAAAGCGAAACTCTGAACATGATTCCCACATAAAGAGTAGTCACTAATTTTGCGCAAATGTATCTTATGTTTGGTAGACTATTATCGGGTTGGACAGGAACTAACCGTTGTACTCGGTCCCTCTTAACCAAACCTGAATGTCAGTTAAATTATTATCGCTTGGGCCGACCCTAAGATTTAATGGCTCTTAACAAATACTACCGCTAATTTAATTTCGTTTGTGGTGTTCAACAAATGATTGGTCAGACGTCAATTATTTACAAAGAAAATTAATTTAAAACATTGCATTTTTTTAGTTCAATGCACGGTACACCAGTTGCATATTGCTGTGCATTTAGTGACGCAGTGACGACAGAACTCACTCTCGGTGAGGAATTCGCCGACGCAGTACTGAAATAACTAGTTGATGTTTGTGAAATCGCATTGTCCAAGGTAAGCACACAAGTCACGCTTCCCTGAACGCTCTTTGGTGAGTCGGCAAGAACAGCCAACTCAGCAACCACCCAAATACTTGGTTGGCGGGAGCCTGAAAGAGGTTAAATTAGTCAGGTAACGTTTTGTAATCTGTGCACACACACCGTAGTTACCCTCCCTTGCTTCGTGTCTCATGCATAATTTCACAGAAAAACTGTCCGGTTGTCTAAATTGACTACCATATAAAATCACACTTTTAGCATGTCTATCACAATGTCTGACGGTCTAACGTGAAACATTAGTGCAGTTTTCGGTCAATGTTATTATTTCTGTACGACTATTATGCGTTCACTATTTTGTTCGTGTGCATTAAAGGAACCATATTACACTTCATTACTTGACATTTTTAATCCCCGCGTTCAGTTTTGACATTTCATTTTGTGTGCATTTTAAAATATTGCCATCGCAAATGTAATAGGCTTCCAAAAAATGGCATGCCGACTAATCAAGGCATGCATTCATGACAGTTAAATGCGAAACACCTTCGATTTATACCAAAAACGTTTTTTTCGGTTTCGGCAGGTTCACAATTAATGAAGTCAATGGCAAGACAAAGGTTGAGGTTCGGTAATAGCCTTATCATAGAAGCAGGGCAGTGGAAGCAGGTACTTGAAGCTTACCAGGAATAAAAACCTTGCCGAAATTTACCGAGTTCCCTGAGCATCGGCCGCGATTCGAGTAGACGTTTGGGAAGGCATGGTTCACGGTACCCCAATCACTGAACTTCAGTCTACTCGGCAACCTCTCATTTGAACCGGAAAATTCAGCATAGCACTCCAGTGCGTAGTCAGATAGAGTGAAGGGAGGTGGTGTCACAGTGACAAGAAAAGTTCCGATTCCTCCAAGTGGAAATACTCCAATTGACTTTATCGTAAAATTCGAGACGCTAGTGGCTGGTGGCTTATGGTGGTAAAGGCAAAGCGGAATGAGTATTTAGTCACTGTTTCCTCTCTCTTTTCCAACAAAAAATCCATGCTAGATTAAATAACGTTTTCATATCATATATTCTCTTAAACCTACTCATTTAATTAAATGTAAAAAAACATTTTCGTTCGACTTGAGCTGCAGAGGTGACGGATTGTTCCACCTAAAAATCTTACAAACTTATCGTGGTGTTTTAGGCTAACTGCAACAAAAAAGCGACACGTTTGTAACAACGCTGCATTAAATTTTTACATATATGGATCCACACGTTATGCTTTCTATGGACGAAAGAGACTTCTAAGTATAATACGTTTACTGCCAAAAAATAACAACGGATGAACTGCCCTCCCACTCGTTCCCATGAACGGCTGGAAAACCACACGATATTAAGCAACCTGTAAGCATCCACACGGCATGCTTTCTATGGAAGACAGCGATCTCTACGTAAATTACGTTTGCTGCAAATAAATGCCAACGCATTAACTGCCCTCCCATTCTTTCCCATGTTCCGCTGGAAAACCACACGACAGTAGGAAATAAAGATAAGATCGTGTTGAAACAGAAGTCCTGGCAAGCAGAACTCACCACGACTCTGGAATTGCTGAACTTCAGAGTGATGCTTCGCCGCCAACTCTGACCTTCGATTGATGTTGCCAAATCAATGACAACACGAGGTGGAGCAGCCGATGAAAATTGCAGGTAGAGGTTCCAGGTTATTCGTGCATGTAAGGCTGTTGACGTTATTCCGTGCTGCGTCAACAACACCTCTCCCCTACGCAACACACACAAAAACAGTCCGATTAACTTTGTGACATCTTGCATATCTGGAAACAAATCTACGTCATACACCACAGCACCACCATTCTTGCACTAAGTGAAATTTTGACTTGTGAAGAATCAAGACCAACACAGTATCTGATATCACATTGGCATATAAGCACAAACATCTTTTTGGACTCTTATCAATAGTGAAGGACTGATGTTATTTCCGCAGCGGTTAGTCACATTAACTTTAGTAGCTGCATCAATACTAAAATTGCACTCACCTTCTTCTAGTCAACTTTGGTTTGCAGTTCGGTTCTACTGCGATTCCCTTGTCTAAACCAGAGATTCGAGCATGCAAAGGATAGACGCCTTCAAAGAAGGCATCGGAGGTTAGTTGAAACGTGATGGTTAAGGATGTGACAACAGATGTGATGGCGGAAATTTCCAGGATCTGAGTTGCTGCCTCCGACGCAGCCTCAGGTCCCTGCACACTGAGTGAAACATCAAACTAAAAAGAGGTTTGGAGTCACATGAAAGTTTCGATCAAGGCAAATTACTAAGCTGTTTATGTACATTTTAAATTATCTGCACCCACTTTAAAATTCTGGTAAACGAAACTTTTACTACTGAAGACTACTCATCATGTCCTAATGTAAAGCACTTTTGAAGGTACATTTACGTGGTCGGTACATCACAAGTTTCATTGATGCAGGTAGAATAGTCTAAAATAATTCTATTTAGTCAAAACCAAATCACTAATGAACTTCATTCTTAACTTTACCAGTTAGTCACTATTAATAAGTGGATTGCAGGTCAAACAAAATCATTTCGGTTTTTCATCCAATGCATCTAGACACAAGTAGTGCAACCAAAAATTATCATGCCTAAGCATTAATAAAAGATAAATAAGGAACTGACGATTTTGGAAATCTTGTAGATTGTTTCAATTGAAGCTTCATTAGAACCACTGATGTTCTTCACTTGAAACTGGCATTTCAGGTGTTCAGCAAGCGCAACGGGAACGAAAATGTCGATTTCAAATATAAGCGAAGTCTCTTGCAGTGGGGAGTGTGGAACAAGCGCAACTGTTAGGGAATGAAGAAACACCGAGTCAGGTAGATTCATTAAAGCTCCACAAACCCGAGTTGAGAATGTGTGCCGATTTTAAATCAAGTCTTTGACCAAGTAATTCGGTTGAATGTCCCTGAGCACATTTTTATTAATGTTCTAAAAATGAGTGCCAGTTAGGTGGATGTGGCACAAACTGGATGTGAACCTCAGTGCCTCTTTCTTCAATGAGCTCTTGCCTCTCATAAAAACTGGTGCACCCTTACCCACTCTTATGCCTTTCAGCTTTTTTTACATCTTCCTATAATGTCTTGACGCTGTACAATATCCACAAAAATACGCCAAATCGGTTGACATTAACGACTGATGTGACCTTCAATCCCCATCGGTTTGAACGTTTAGTAAGCCTCCTTGCCTCAAATTTGTCCTAAGTAATCAAAGCCTACACATTTGGTCGGCATTTTATTATTAAAAATTCTATTGATTATTAGAATGTTTAAGTTCAACGGAGCACTTTTTTGCATCGGTACAAGCTCTGATTTTTGCTGACAACGGAGAATTTGTTTTACACCACTTTTATCAGCCATAGCATAGTTTGGAACATTTTGTAAAAAAACTGATAGTGCTTCTTTGCTGTACCCCCTTTTTGGTCGGACATTTCAGGCTCCTCGTGGTCCCTCGTGACACAACTAACAACCCACAAGGGCGTTGATGTTAGCGCAAGTTGTGCAAAGTTGTTAGGCTCGGCTGAGCTCCTTGGATGGACAGTTTGGTCAAGCGATCGTCGATACCATAAAGTCAGCTTTACATGAGGGGATTCTGAGTCGTTCATTAACTCGCGTCGACATATTCACGGAAATGTATTCTACTGATGTTTCTCCTCATTCATAGTTCATTTCATCCTATCAACAAATTTAAAACACAAATCACATCGAATCCGTCAGATACTAACGGTTGATTTCTAAAAATGACTGCATTCAAATGTAAGCTTACTTTAATATAAATAAGATGGTCGATGATCTTTAGGGTAATGTTAATTTTGATTTCAACAGTTTAAGGTGAATTAGCTAGTTAAGCACAAGCAATGCCCCCTATTTGCAGACAAAAGGACTTGAGGCAATCCTTTGCAAAAACGTGTGCAGGTTGCATCCTCAAGCAGCGCTACACGACATTCGTTTCGACATCATTTCCAAACCACTTTCGAAGGAGTCGCAGTTTGTACTTTTGAATGATGGAGACAATTGTGTAAGTCACACTTGTGCAAAAGAGCATCGAGTTGAGCTTACGGATGTTATCGCCAACTTCGAAAGACAGACCGAGAATTGTGCTTGACTGATCCGTTGATGTCGTATTTTCGAGAGGCACAATCCCTTGCCCAATCGGAAAAGTTGTTTTAATTTGTTTTACGTCAATTAGTGTGCTGTTCAGCGCTATGGTAACCTAAAATGGCATTTTAACACTAATTAAACAATTGAACAATTCCCAATTTCGGAACAAAAATCGAAATGGAGTATATGCCAGATTTCTCCGCTTACATCGAGTAATCGAGTAAATAACCACTCTTTAGTGTAGATTCTAGAAAAACCAGTTGACTGACGACTCACTCCAATTAGGTTGAATTGGTCATGAAATTTACTGGAGTTTTGAAAGATTAATATTGCCGAGGGCTCGATACAATTATTAAAAATGGACGTCAGAGGCCGTGAACATAAAAATACTTGAGTGCAACGGTATGTACTGACTCCATGCTTTTCCACAACTTCAATTAACACAATCTACATTGACATACACAATCACAACCCATCACACCCATACACGACATACAACTAACCGCTGGAACGATATCAATTAGAGCTTGGAATAACCATGAGATTTGGCAAATACGAATAAGGCTTAATTTAGGCACATTAGAGTAAAATCATGGTGCAAAATCAGTAGGCATTTAAACCATCTTTAGTTGTACAACCCGGCTTACTTTAATAACACCAGCATGCAGCGTTCGTAGAGCCAATGCAAGCGTGTTTGTTGTGCCCGAAATGAGCTGAGTGCTGCTAGAAATGTCTTCCAGCAAAAAACTGGGTTGAATTCCATGGTCATGTCCAGAAATTCTAAAGTGTACTTCCGTTGATTTGATCTCACCAGTCTTCGAGTATAACTGGACATCAAAGTGGCCGTTGGCTAATATCGACGAAGCCGGCATTGGGGGTGAATTCACCACTACGAGGATGTCTAGGCACTGACATCTTTTGAGTGTATCGAAGCTGGAAGCACATAGGTACTCTAGTGCCATCTCAGCGTGCACCTGTAATGACATGCAAATTTGCTGCATATTTTGTAATTTATAAACTCTGGAAATGTAGCTTATGCAGACGTCAGCATTTTCGACTCCAAAATTGAGCTTCCTGTACGATTGCAAAGTATAAAACGGATAACATCGAGGCAAGTTGCCATTTACACACCAGGTAACATCTTTTATAAATTTCAGAGGTAAATTATCATACACACTTTACTCTATTTGTCTACGATTAATATTGAACTCAACGTTTCAAGATGAGATGGAGGGATACGTGAAACCATTATTGACTAACCGGTTTGTGTTTTTTTTCGTATTCTTCTATAGGACACAATAAGTACCTGCTGCACAACTAGTAGCACTCATTCATCGTAACCATAATCAATTAAAACGCAGCACTCAGCAAGCTATTGATCTCTACTTGATTTTACCTACATGTACAACCTAGGTTCATTTGTAACTGTTGTACGCCAAAAAGAGTGAATGCCAGATTTTAGTTTGTGAGCAAACTGTCATCCCACGACCTCCAAATAGAACCAACCTGTCTACTCACTCTAACCGAAAATTACCACTTAAAGAACATACATGATCTACTACTGACATCTAAACTACTTGATATGTTATGTGTGCTTACGTCAGAGAATTTAGTTACGAAAAGATTAGCGTCATTAAGATCGAAACCGGGGCTTGCGTAGGTCACGCCAACTATGTGAATAGAGCCGCCCGTGATAGATTCTTCCATTTTAAAGGGTCCGAGTATTCGCAGAATACCATTCAGAGTGTAGTCCACCGGAAGACAAAGTTGGATGGTGAACTTCGTTCCGAATTCGGAGGGAGTCGTTGTCAATTCAGGTGGTTTGATGGTCATACGTGGCTGCATCGGCAGTGTGCATTCCTGTGATTGATCGCTGTTAGCCTCCGGTGCCTTTAATTAACCGAGAACACTTCTACAGCTCAATGAACATCTCAGTCAAAATACGCTCTTTCAACTGCTTCAATGTTTTAAATGCTAAAGCCAAATCACCGTTAGATGATGCATTAAGGCCTCTAACATTTTTCCGAGTTCGTATCTTAGGCTTGCATCTCGTAGATGGGCATTCATGCTTATGCGATTTGGACCTAATTCTTAATCTGTCTGGTCACAATATTCTACCGAGCTCTCATTACCATTCTCGACGTAACACTAGAAGCCATATTAGCTCATGGTTTCTCATAAATTACACTGTTGCACTTACATCTGATGGTACTTCAAATAAACCATATGGAGGTCCATTCAACACTGTCACCCGCGTCGATCCATTCGCCTTTTTGAACTCACCAATGTTTCTCGCAACCACAGTAAACGACGCCCGTCCGATGGACTTCCAGACTTTAAAATCAGCATTTGAATTGAAGTAAATTTCTCCTTTGTG